GCCCGCAGTGGCGCGGTGTCCCGGCTGCGCAACCAGCCTAGGGCCATGGCCGCCTCTCTGGGCCCCACCGGCGTTAGCAGCGCCGGGGCAGTGCCTGGCTCCGGCCCGTCGGGCTTCGCCCTGGACTCGGGACTCGAGATCAAAACTCGCTCCGTGGAGCAGACGCTGCTCCCACTGGTTTCTCAGGTAAATGAACGCCTGGCCCGGCCCCTTGTCTCGCCCTGGTTGCTGCCCGCGATGGCGGCGGCCACTCGCCCGCCCCAGGCCGGGCCTGGAAGCGATAGCCGCTGCCCCACATTCCGTTCTGGACTTCGGCGTCGGTGTCCAGCCGCCGGGCTGGGGCTTGGGGACAGGCCTTGGCCGAGGCGGTGGGAGTCTGGACCATCGAAGTCCAGCAGCAAGGCCGAGTGGGCTGAGCTGCAGGGGAGACTGCGGGCTGGGAGCCCAGTGTGGACCCGGGTGTCCCGCGGGCAGGTGCGCAGCCGACTGACCCTACAAGACCTGTCTGGGAGTCGCGGCTCTGGAGGTCCCCGGCCCAGCGAGGTCACCTCCACTGGCTCTCCCCCTGGCACTTAGGGGCCCTCCCCAGCGCCTAGGGGACCTCCTCCTTAACCACTGTTTAACCCATTGCTGGCAATCGTTTGAACCCCCAGTGCACTCCCGGACTGCCGGCACCTTCTGGCTTGGGCGTTCCTACCAGCCTCCAAGTCCAGCGTGCTCCCCTTTGTCCCTTTCCCTGCCTCTGTGTCAGCTTGCCCATCTCCCTTTCACCCCTGACCGGCCCCTCTAACCTGCCTGCTCTCCAGTCCTTTGTCAGGCCTGTCCTAGGAGGAGTGAAGTGAAGGATTCTGCTAATTAATCCAGCTACACACCTTTTTGCCAAATCCCATTCGGAATGTGAGCTTTATTATATCTTTTGGTCATAACAGTAATCAGGGATCAGCTAGTTGACGGGCTTAGTTTTAGAGAAGCTTTTGTTTTTTCTGAGTGAGTTATATGCAGCCTGAGGGCTAGGATTCCCCACCTAGATCTGTTGTAAAGTGCCAAGCCCTGTGGGAAGTGAAGAATTCTGCCCTTCAGGAGCACGTTGGTGATCTGTGACTCACAACTAGATTGTAATTTTTTATGACTCACACTGGTATTGCTAAGATTTTAGAGGTAGGAGGAATCTTAAAGATTGTCTCTAAGTTAAAAAATAAGTTCTTACAGCATCCTTGAAGCTGGTCACCAATCCCCCTGCTTACACATACATGTTCAGTTATGGGGTGCCTCTATAGTTTCTACAGAATTGTAAATGCTACCTCTTCTTCCAAGGCCCACAAATATTTGAAACCAGCAGTTATACAGATCTGTAGAGTCATGTTAAACTGGAATAAATAAACTGCTCCATTTTCTTGAGCTGTGCTTATTTTAACATAATGGTGAATGAAAATACCAGACACTCCTCTCCCCCTTCCCCTCCATGTCCATCAGACACTGAGCAATGGGAGGGGCTGCCAGGCCCATTTAGTGACCCACCAGCGCCACCAATACGTCAACAACCAAAATTGACAAGTATGAAGTAGTTTTAAGAGAGAGATAAGGGAATGGAGCAGTTCAAGGTGATAATAGTTTATCCATTTATTTAACAATATGTGTATAGTACTATGCACCAAGCTACAGTCTAAGCATTTTATAAATGTTGACTCATTTTATTCTAACAATTCTTACTATATGGATGAGGACACTGAGGAGCAGTGTGATATTAAGGAACTTGTTACAGGACTCTCACCTGAAAGTGTCAAGCTGCTATCTGGACCAGGCAGCCTGACTCGTAGCCTGACTCGGGAGTCTTGTGCTCCTAGCTCCAGAGAGAAACAGTGATAAGATCAGTTGCTGGTAGTGCAGAGAGGAGAGACAATAAATTAGAAGTTGTTGCAATCTGAGTAAAATGGTAACTTCTTATAGTATCCCTGCTAAAAATGTATCAGTCCTATAGTTAGTTCTATATTGCATAATTCTGGAGTAAAAGAAAATGGACAGAATAGGAGACCAGAGGAAGGAAAATGTGTTTAGCTGCTGAGATGTAATGGGAGGACAGTGCCAAAGAGGGGGGACTGCCAGCCTTTCCCACCCTGTTGAAGATTCATTTAAGTCTAGTAACTAATTTATCCATACTATATCTTATACCACAACTGATATTTCCAGTAGTTGACTGTGCTCACTGACAAAAAGCTAAATTATGCTTAAAATAAAGAAAAAAAAAGCATGACCAGAAACTTAACAAAGCAGGAAAGTGTGGAGTATAATTTAGAATGATTTAAAAAAATTAAAAATATAGCTTTCTAGAAAGCTCATATGTCCAGGAATCTCATTTTCTATGGATGCTGCATTATAATCCAACTCATGTCTCACGATCTATCTGTAGGCTATTTAAAGAATTCTAAACAAATTCTGCTGCTTTTTGAAGACTGATTTTCTAACTGGGAAATAAGGTAACAGAATTGCACATGCCAAGTGTCAAATGAACATCATCAAAAGGACATAGAGAAAGCTTGAGTCTGGAAGCAGGGATGATGCCATGGTCCTGAGGTGAACAAGTAGGATTAGCGTTGTACTGTTTAGTGAATTGCAAGCAGATAGTTCTACTTGGATGTCCAGGCTCTTCTGACTCTCCATGGAAAAATGTCTGGATTATTATCCTTCTTTTACAAATGCAAGATTGACTCAATAGTAGACAAATTTACCCAATTTCTGCATTCACATATTAGAAAAGATACATGTTCTTATCAATAGAGGCAGAAAAAATGTTTGACTAATTCAACTTCTGATCATGACCAAAGACACTTAGCAAACTAGTAATAGAAGACTTTCTTTTTTTTATTAAGTTTTTTATATTTATACATGCAAGAACTGGGGTGCAGGCCAGAGGTATGAGGGAGTGAGAGGATTCACCTGAGATAGAATGGGAGCAGAACAGGCAAATCCATTAAAATACCCTGCTGAAGGGAGGAGCGGGCGAGACAGGAGAGGTGTGCTGCATCATGTGGGTCATCTTCCTGGCCAGAGATGGAACTTGTGCTGCAGTGGCTATGGAAAGCTTCAGAATGCTGTGGCTTAACCCGCTGTACCACCAAGGAGGTTCAAAAGACTTTCTTGATTTAAAAAAAAAATAGTATATACAGGAAACATAGGTTTCTGTAAAACATCATAGGAAGAGGTCAAATTTAAAGCAAACATTACCTTTAAAACAAGAGCAAAGATGCTCATTATTAGAGCTTCTGTTCAACACTGTACCAGAACTGCTAAGCAATGTAAGACAAGGACAAATGTAAGGTATAAAGATAGAAAAAGAAAACTGAGAACTCTCATTGTGATGTAATTATCTACACACAAAACTCAAGGGTCTTCATATAAATTAGAAAAAATAGGTTTAGAAAGTTCACTGGATATAGAATACTAAAGTCAATTGCATTTCTCTAAATCAACAACAAACATCAAGTAATTCTAAAAAGTGCCACTTAGAGTACAAATGACAGCCAAATATGATCTTACTAGAAATATATGGACAGCAAAAGAGATTTCAAACTTTATGGAGAAAATTTAAGAATTCTATTCAAAGTGTATCTGACTGGGAGAGAATATCACTCTAATTTAGATTATGTGTTCACAAGTGGTTGAAATGACTTCATGTCATAGACATACAGATTTTGCCTACTGACCTTATAGATTTAATGCAACGTCAATGAAAATTTCAATAGGATTTTGGAGTAGAATTTGATACATTCTAAAATTTATATGAAGGAACAAAGAGCTGAAAATAAGGAGCAGGGAAACAAGGGGGGGGTGGGTTTGCTTGACTTATTATAAATATCAATAGTAATTAAGATAATGTGGGTTTAAAACAAAGGTGGGCAAATAACCAGTGAAACAAAATAGAACACCTAGAAACGGATCCACCAGGCTAGGTACCTTGATAAATTAAAGATTTGGCAATGGGGAAGTGAAAAACTTTTTTTCAAGTGGGGCAAATATAATTTTAAACAGAAATAAGGAAATTGGGTGTGTCACACATATATAAAAAACAAATTCCGGATGGATTAAGGACATCAATATAATAGGGCAATATGGCCCTCCCTGGTGGCGCAGCGGGTTAAAGCACAGCACTAAGAAGCGAAAGCCACTTCCACATGAGTTCGATTCCGGCCTGCCCCGGAGGTGACCACATGGCGAGGCAGGCCTCTCCTGACCTGCCTGCTGCTCCCCTCAGCAGTGTACTTTGTCGCTCTGCTTGTTCTGCTCCCCACTCTGTCTCTGGTGAAGCCTCTCGCCACCCCTGAGCCTCAGGCCTGTACCCCAGATCTGTATGCACAAATAAATAAATCTTAAAAAAAAAAAGAGCAATATTTTTGCCACTTCATGGTGGGAAAGGATTTGTTGATATATCAAAAGTACAAACTCTGGGCCCTCCCTGGTGGCGCAGCGGGTTAAAGCACAGCACTAAGAATCTTAAACCACTTCTGCATGAGTTCGATCCC